ATAAACAAGGACTAGTAGAAATGGAAAGAAAAGACATGATAAAGGAGAAGTAAAGAATGAGTGTATAGAGGAAACAATACATTGATCATCAGAAGCAAAAGAAAGACAACCAACAAGTCAACAAAAGCTCCAACAATATAACCATGGTTGCTCTCTCTCCATTGACTCTCAGATACCAACTCAAAAGCTCTTCAAGACCCTCCCAATCCTTCAACCCATGAGCCTCCACCATTTCCTCCATTGAACTCTTGAAGTCAACAAATGGGTCTCTAGAATCCACCGCCATAACCACACTTTCTTTAAAAGGAAACCCATCTGTCTTGGCCTCCTCTAGAATGGACCTTGTCTCACCAGGCTCAAAAACAGCCTCTCCGATCGCAACCCTCGAACCACCGTCTCTATCGCCTCGCCACCGTGGTCTTCTGACTCCATTGAAAAGCTTGTGGATTCGGTGGACTTGCTGAAACAGAGCTCTGGTGTGTCCACAACTTTAATGGTAGTGTCAATGAAGGCCGAGTTTATTGTCCTGAACATGTCATTTCCAGCTCGAAAGGAGAGAGTTTTAGGGTTTCCACAGGTTGGCCATGGCCATGAAGAGCTTGGTTCTGTGGCTTTGAAGAGAAAGGAAAAGCTTCATTTTCTTGCCCATGTGATTTCTAAAGGCCTACGGAGCAATGTGGTCGCAGCAGAGAGAGAGAGAGTCTTCCTTTTGTTTTTTTTGGTGTGATTGTGAATGGAGTTGTTTGCTGTGGCATTAATAAATAGTCAGAGAGATTCAATGGGAGATTTTAAAAGAGTGGTGAGAGATATTAATATATCAAGAAGAGGTTGCTTGTGGGCTCTATACAGACCATAGAAGTAAATGTTGTTCAGTAGAGACCTCAATGAATTGAATAAGAGTATTATAGGAGTACTTCTCTTGTAGCTCTCAAATTTTGATTGGCTGTAAACAAATTGGTAATTGTTTATTGGGTGCATGTAAAAAATTTATTCTCTTTCAAATTCCTCATTTGTTTAAATTCTAAATAATCCAATGTCTAATTTAGTTTATCACTCTTGATTCTCTTAGAATTTCCCAACCAAGGGATTAGAAGATGAATCGTTACCAAACACAACGAGCCTGTTTGGAGTTGGTTTTCTTAGGTGAAAAACTACGGTTTGCAAAGTTTCACAAAAAAATCAGAGTTAAAAAAATCTCATAAAACTGTTTGAGGTGTTCTTTAAACCTAAAAAAATTTGGAAATGTCTTCTTGAAGTGACTTTTTAGGTTTTTTGTGTCTAAATAAAAAAATAATTACATGTATGTATAGATTATGCATAATATTATTAAAATATGAATTTTAATTTCTTTTACGTCAGTAATAATACTTTATGAATATAATAAATTAAAAAATTATGTGAGACCTGCAATAAAACTCAAAAAAAATTGGAAGAAAAGTTCATAAAATCAGATTCTTGAATTAGAACAAATAAGTTTTTTTAGGTCCAAAAAGTTGTTGTCTAAGTTGATCCAAAAGCTATGGCTCTAAACAAATTTTACTTATTTTACTTCAAAAATTATAAAATAAACCTATTTTAGCTAGGTCCAAATGCTTGATTTCTTATAACCCTCTCTTTTGAGGTTCTATCGTGCCCTCTTTCAATTCTTTACTGTTTTGTGAGTGTTTTATACTCAACTATAAATACATTATTCGAAAATTGTAATAGTTCATTTTTTATTCTAATAGTGATTTATCGATGCATATCAACAAAAAAATTCAAAACTGCTTCCATGTTACAAAAGATTTAAATAGGCAATGACTTTGACATCCTGCTCCCTAATAATGTTTACATTTATGTTTGCTGCCATATATAGTTGTCTAGATTTCAAAAAAAGGAACAAGGAGGGAAATCCCACCCTCATACACCACTGTTCTACTAACCATTGTGTTGTAAAACATTTAACACCTCTGATCTTGAAATCCCACCCTCATACACCACCAATCTCCATCGTTCGAAAGATAATAAAGACGAGTTGTAAATTTATACGTCTTAAGTTTGAATCTTGACAAATTCTTAGGATCAGACCATGAAGAATTTATTCTTTATAAATACACTAGTGCGTGTAAATTAACCCGAATACCTCTTACCGTTGAACTAAAAAAAAACATTTGAAAAAGTATGCAATGTAGACTGCATTGTCTATGAATTGCTGTTACAACAGCCATACTACCCAACATTAATTGTCTTGGTCTACATCGTATATTTCAAAAAATACAAATGTATCATGATCTCTAAAATATTTATAGTCAGATCGCAAGAGTAATCTCTTCCAAACTAGTTAGATAGTTTGATTCCTAGTATATCTCTTGACATTATAATTCAATGAACTTTTGTGCATGTCTTGAATTATATTATATATTTGATTTGTATTTGTCAATGAATTTTTTTTTAGGGGTTAACAAAAGAAACTTAAGTGTGGTGGGGGAAGCCAGAAGGGGCAGTTGGGTTGGTCTTCAATTTATAAATGCACCCACCAGCTTTAGAGTTGAGTGCCTTGAATGTTTGCTGTGTACCAGCCAGCCTTTTCTTCTATGTTAATTTTGATTTTTTCAAACTTGAATTATATTTTTTCTAGTTCAACGGTTAAAGATGTTCGCGTCAGCTTATGCTCATTTTGATTAGTTTTCTTCTTAGTTTGGTCAAAAGTAGGTGATCCACACCGGAACTAAGATATTCATGAGGAATAAATTTTTCTTGATTTGACCCTAAATAATTACAAAGATTTAAATTCAAGACGTTTGAATTTACATTTCGTTCCTATTATCACTTCAACTTAGAGTTACCAAACTTGAATTACCAAGTAAACACATCATTCTTTATTTTTATAATTTTCTTAAGTCATAGAGAGCTTGGTGTTGGTATTTAGACCATGCATGAGGGTGGAGAAGGAATTGGAAACCTTATGAATGGTTCGAAGTTAAATTAACTTTAAATTCATTAAACTAGTATGGATTATTTCAAATTAGGTTTTATAGTGAGCTTAATTAAGCTCTATTTGTATGCATGTGAAGTTCGGAATAAAACTTCGTTCAATTGAGTTAAGTTGAGTTGGTATGCGAGTGAAGTTAGTTCAACAAGACAAACTTCCACCGTCTTGGGTTTCAAAAAAGCAATAAATTCAAATGGATGTGAAACAAGAAGTATAATTTATTATACTGTATCAAAAAAGACTAATATTCAAGTGTTTGTCAAGTTAAAAAAAAGTCGAAGTTATTGATCGATGTGGTCCAAAAATTTGGATTAATCCTAAAAAACGTGAAATCAACCTCACAAAATTGAGTTCAGTGGTAAAAAATTGGGATCGATGTACAGTTTACTAAAAGTTTTTTGGTTACTTCCCAAATAAATCACAATGATTCGTAACTTGAAATGTTTAAAATACACATGCAGCTCCAACCATAGTCATAGCACATGGTACATTACTTTACCTTTTTCAAGTTTATCAAACAGCTTTTGGTGTTGGTGGTATATTATCTCTAGAATCACACCAATTTTTACCATCTTTTTGTCACATCAACTCTTTTTTTTAGCTGGCTTTTGGAGTTCGAAAAAGTTGGCTTTTCTTTAGAAGCCCTTAGATAAGCATTATTTTTCAACTTTTCCTTGGTCTTGTTAAAAGTTATTTTTGCCCAAAAAATTGATGAAAAAACCGTCCAATAAGCCCAAGTCCAAACATATCAAACTTCTTTTTCTCTAAAAAAAAAAAAAAAAAAAAAGCTGAGATTGTAAGTTAACTCCAAACAGGCCCAATATAATACATGAAAAAATATAATATATCATTAAAACAACAATGAGAAAGAAAATGGAATTGGGAACTATGTGATGGTGTGAGGTGTTTAATAAAGACCTATCCAACTCGACCGAGTAACAATAGGTCTTGTACCCCACCCTTCATCTTGTAGAATAGAACTATGCAATTCAGCTCAGCTCAACTCATTAAAGCTTCATCCTAATATTTTTTGGGTCAGTAGGATCGAATTATATCCCAGCAAAATAATTTTCTCCTATCAAACTGTAATATGATTTAGTGATTCTTATAGAGAGAGAGAGAGACAGAGAGAGAGAGAGAGTCACATTTAATACTCCATGTTCATGGAGTGGTTTGATATCAAATGCTGCATAAATTTTGTAGTCTTTCCAATTAATGGCTTGTTGGGTATGTTCTATACATCCAAGATTATGTCACATCCCCCAAATTCAAAATTTATCTTCCAATACTAAATCATGGCTTCAGATTTCAGCCAATCGTATGGCTACAATTCATCATGGATCATGCTAGCCCATATTATGTTGTTGGGCCCTTCATGCTGGCAGACTTTAACATGACTTTGAGCATACAAGGCAGTGGTCGTGACACAACCTACAATGTTGTCTACATTATACTTAAAAAGAAGGGACCATGGTACAGATCACATGAAAGGTGGTCCCTTTTGTGTGTGTGTGATCAACTCATTTTCAAATTTGAAGTTCCAAACTTCTCATGTTTGCCGTAAATTAAATGTGAGGCAACTATACGTCTTCATTTGTTGGTTTGCCATTAGGGTTAGAGAAAATCCCAGTTTTTTCAATCGTCCTAAGCCTTAGGCTGAGCTAAGAAGAGTCACCTTGGTGCCGGAAGGAAAATTTCAAGTTGTATCCCCTTGCTCTGGTAGCTCGAAGCCCACTGGTTCAGTCAACACGCTGCTTGCTTACCTGAGAAAACAAATAAAAAGAGAAGGGCAGAATTTAATTCATAAGCTGTTACACATTTGAGATAAATTTTTTGGTGCTTGTGCATTTACGAATTGACTTTTTTTTTCTTTTTTTGCAAACGAGGTTTCTAAACCTCTTGAAGATGGATGTAAACCTTGAGCCCCACATGCAACAGGCAATTACAAAGATAAAGAAACTGCAACTGAAAAACAAGTTCCAGTACAGTCTAGGAGGAGGGGGGGGGGGGAGGATTTGGGTTGGGGGGGATCCAGCCCAGTAGATTATGTCAGCAAATAAGAATCCCATGAGGTACAATAACCAATGCAAGCCCATTCCGCGCACTGGATTGACTCTCACTACTATTATCTTGCAACCTCAATTTCTTTAAGATACATCGGTGAATCACTAAAACAATGAAGAACAAACTATTACAATCTTGAAATAAATATACAGCCAAGGACAAAACACCCACGCAAGAGAGAACAGAAATCAGACAGAGAACACAATAGAATCTCCAATGAAAGGAACAAAGAAATGGGGTTTGCTTTGTTCTTCTTGATAACCCATCTGCAAAAAACAAAAAAATAAATCATTCTTTCATTGCTTTAAAATTGTAGCAGCAACCTTCCAACCAAGTTGTAGCAACATAGCAGGGCAGTAACGAGCAAACAAAGTCAAATTAATCCCCTTGAGCTGCAATCCTCATGCTCCACCAAGTTCCTTGAGTTGGTACAAAGAAAGCATACCCATTCACCATTTTCTAACAAGGAGTTTATCAAAATGGAGACCAAACACACACATACACACTAACAAGGTGGTTTTCATTTCAAAGTTCCAACCTCCAATTTCCATATTCTCACCATGTTTCAGAATTTTGGCGTCGAGACCCACGAGCCATAAAAACATAAATTGGTATTGTGCATTTAATCTAGTTGTTTTGCAGTATCTAGGTTACTGGTATGGTAAGCCATACTGACATGCCACGTACAAAGTATAGGAAATCTGCATAATTGTGGCCAATCACATAAAAATAGTTTATGTTATCCTCAACATTTTTGTATGCAATGTCATCCTGCTCATAACTTCAAAATAGCAAAGTAAAGGCACCTATTCAGAGTACTCATGAAATTGAAGCATCAGATACGATTCTAAAGCACAAATCTTACTATACATATATTCTTTGCTTTAATAATTGAGGAGGCATCAATAAATCTGTGTTGCATATTGCGTTCCAAGGTATACAAACCTAGAACTTCTATTTATCGAATAATGAATCAATATGCATACAATTTCTAACCGAATATATAACAAGTTATATGCACTCAATTTCCCAACTCTGTAAAAATACTGGAGAATAGATTAGCAATTGAAGAAAGATTATACCTCACCATGATATGATCCATCAATGGTCAGAATTGTGTGTTATAGCCATGCCTGGAACCAAATTATATAGCCCATCATCCCATGCCAAGGTTAATCCATGCCAGCACTGCTGAGTGTTTTGCTAAACTAGCGTGCAGAGAGACAAACTTCAAGGAGTTCGGATTATCAGAATAGAATTTACTATCAAAATTGTTTCGATTGTCTGAGTAGTTGTCCTTCTGCAAACGACTTAGGAGAAGAATTTTGATGGAAATGGAATACACAAAACAGAGTATCAAGTCCTATCTACATTCCATATTTCAATGTAACAATATCTCATATTTAAGAACAGATCTTAACCCCTATTTTCAGTGTTCAGATCTTAGCTTCACTTACCATGGCAACAAAAATTACTTGCAACATAATCCACTTCTCAAGTACCATAATATAGATTTTTCATTTATTTTCAAATCCTATCAAGTTATTTGAAAAAAATTAGTATGCAGATACATGTGCAGTTCTGCCAAAGAGGCAAGGAGATGACATATTAATTCTTGTTGCATCACATGAATCAACAATGATTGTCTCGTTCCATCTTTAAAATGAGATAAAAAAATAACACAATAAGCAGTGAGATCAAAATTAACACAGTACGCACTTCAGAGGATTTCTTTAAAAAGTAACCAGAATGAACAATAACTTTCGCCACTTAATGCAAAAAGCCTCTTCACAACAATTAAACAGTTAACAGCATAAAACACCTTATATAGGAAATTGGCACCACATCATACGATTCCAAAGTGACTGGTATAATACTACATGGAAGTCTAAATGCTAACCTAGGACTTTCAATACTTTTGAACTGGCAATTGGAAGACTTCAAAGTCAAATGTAAAACTTTTGATAGGAAACAAAACTCCTGTATAGATTTGAAATTAATATGTCAAAGAGTTAATAGGATGGACAAGATATCCAACCATAAATTGAAAAAGTAAAAAAATACACTCAACACTAAAAAAATTAAGGGGCACATGAGGCTTTCCAATCACCCAAAATACAAAATAGCAGCACACCATCAAAGTCCTTAGAGACGGAAGCCCACAACAATGCCAAGTAATAAATAAAATCCTGTAAACCCTCCTTCCATTTGACTTTATCCTCAAATATCTTTGAGTTCCTCTCTAATCAAATTTCCCATATTATAGAAAAAATTGCACAATGCCAAAAGGTCACCCCTTTCCCAAAAATTGCAAATGTAAAACTTTTGAACCAGTTGTTAATTGCACAGAGTAGGATCAACATAAGAAGTTAAGCCATCCATTTTCAGTGCAATCCCACATATGGTTCTTCTTTGATAAAACAGTTCCAAACATAATTCTTCCAAGTCTTGACCAATATGACCTAGCCCAGAGGAAAACGGAGCCCAAATGCAATATGAAGCAATCGTGCTAGAATAGATTAATCAAACCTCGAAACTTCCAAAACCTAATATCATCAAATTCTGACATCAAAGCCAACATAGTGCCCTTGAAACTCCAAGTCAACTAAATTTTCTTCTGAACAATATTCCAAAATTCTCCTAAATACAGTTATCAAAGCAGACCATACAAAACTAGAAGAAACATGCCCACTCATCACCTCACTAACTTGTTTATCTCTATTCAGTTGCTTGACATTTTGAATTATCTGAATAGTTGTATTTCTGCAAACAACTTAGTAGAAGAATTTTGAAGGAAAATAAAATTGAGTGTCAAGTTCTACCTACATGACTACATTGCATATTTCAATGCAACTAAATCTCATATTTAAGAACAGAACTGAACCCCTATTTTCAGAGTTCAGATCTTAAATTCACTTACCATGGCAACAAACATTTCGCGCAATATACTCCACTTCTCAAGTATCATATTGATTTTGCAGTTAGTTTTCAAATCTTTTCAAGTTATATGAAGAAATTTGTAAACAGATACGTGTGCAGTAGTGGTAGCATGCAAAATGACAGTTACACATGCCATATAAAGAGCCATAAACTTCTGTTTCTTACTCAGAAAAAGAAAAGAAGATAGCATATATAAACACTTGATGTATCACATGAATCAAGAATGACTATGTCTCTTCCCATCTTTAGAATGAGATACAAATTGACACAAACACTTCAAAGAATTCTTTTATTAGAGTAACCAACAAAAATTTTCACCACACTTTCACCATTTTCAAACTGACAATTAAAAGACTTTAATATCAAATGGAAAACTTTTGAACCCGTTGTGAATTCCACAGAGTAGGCCAAACATCAGAAGTGAAGCCATCAGATTCAGTTCAATCCCACATATGGATCTGCTTTGATAACACGGTTCCAAATCTAAAATCTTCCAAGTTCTTAACAAATATTAAAAAACCTAGAGGAAAACAAAGTCCAAATGCGATATGAAGCAATCATGCTGGAAAAAATCAATCAAACCTTGGACTTCCAACACCTAATATCAGCAATTCTCTGATATCAAAACGAACATAATGCCATTGAACCACCAAGTCAACTAAATTTTCTTCTGAACTGAAGTCCAAAATTCCTCCAAAATAAGGTTATCAAAGCAGAAGATACAAAACTAGATGAAACTTGTCCACTCATCCCGTCACCAATCTCCAATCCTCAGACAATAACCAACCACATTCCCCAAAGCAAAAAAACTAATAGAAATAAACTTACTTCCAGTTTTTTAGCAACAAATTCAACATGTAAATTCTAACGCAAAAGGGCCACAATAAACCCTTTCAACCATTAAGCATATGATCATTTAACATCCGGAGCCAACTGTGAGAGAGCTTTATATACGTGGTAAATTGGGGAAAACTAAATCCAATGTAAATTCACACGTTGATCCAACCTGATTGGATTAAATTCCAGGCCGCCCACAATAATATTTAGACTCAAACATGACCAAATGCTAAGCGTCTGTGCATGAACTAAAGTTAAAGAAAAGATAAAAGGAAATCAACTGATTTTGATATAAAAAGCCAATGATTGTACAAATTTACTAGAATACTAATTTCTACAAGCTAGAGGAGGAATTAAAATTCAGAAAATTCTAAACCATAAAGTACACCGGCATACTTCTCAAGCATCCCATCTCTGGAGCAGAAGTAAACCTCCCTAATCTTCTGAAACGCCTGCCAAGTGAGCAAGCTATCAGAACCGGCCTGGTGGCACTTCCCGACCGCCCGGTCCACATTAAGCATCCTCGCCACCCGGTCCAACCCACCGTACAAACTGTTACAGAACTTCATCAGGTACTTCACATCATAAACCCTATCACCGAAAAAAGCCCTCAATAAATCCAAGAACGCCAGCAAGTCCGCTGGCAAGGGCTTTCCAGTCAAGATTTTGATCAAGTACCCGAAATCGTAAGCGCTGTGGAACGTGACCCAACTCACTGAGTCATTGCACACGAGTCCCGATGACATCATCAACTTGGCGAAGTTGGATGAACTTATGCCGAATTCCTTGTTCTTCTCGAAATCTATGCCTTGCTGGCGCAATAATTGGATGGAATCGGAGGCGTGAAAATCAAGTGACAAGTCGAAGTCGGAGAAGTTGAATTCCCAGACGAACCGGTGGCTTGTGCCGAGATCGGGTAGATTGCCGGCGGAGTCAGAGAGAGTGAGGCCAACTTGTATGAGATTTAGCAAGTCGACGTTGGCTTTGAGCATCAAGTAGTTGGCCAAAGAACTGCCATCGCGGACTGTGGAGGAGGAGGCGGTCCGGATGACAATCCCCGGGAACTCTGTGTCCATGGATGCGTAAGGGTACTGGTCGATGATCTGTCGGATTAAAAAGAATTCGGACTCAAGATTGTCGGACCAGACTGAACGGACTATGATCGTCGGTAAATTCTTCTCCACCGTAGACGGTGGTGGTGCTGATAGTTTACTGGTGGCTGACATGGGAACCCGATCTTGACTGTATAGACGACCACGACTACGACGGCGACTGTGATAGGATATAGGGTTTCAGTTTTTGAATCGAAGTTTGTATTTATACATCTGAGAGAGAGAGAGCGACGTGAGACGTAGTAGGGACGCTGGGTTGGAGTTGGGGTTGTGTGAGAGTAGGGCCCATTGATTCTTGAATTGTAATGACGGAGTTGTCCATATTTCTTTTAGTTAATGACAGCAATGCCGTGGGTTAATTGGCCTGCCTTGTCGGTTTAGAGGGTCTAATTAATATGCGCTACCGAAATAAACCCTGTGCACAACCATGCCTTCTTACAGTTTTTTGGGTCAATAATCAAAAGTGTCCGAGTCAGTTATCTCTCGTCACGGTTCAAAACAGAAACCTGCGAATGCAAAGTATAATGGTTATCTAATCAAATTTGAAAATCCTGATTTGGGTCCAGTTACAGGTTCGATCATGCAATGCAATTTGAATTTGATAAAAATTCAAAATCTCGATTTAAATAACTAAAATAATAATTAAATTTAACAAATTCTATTTAAATTTAATTATATTTTTTTTATTCTATTTAAATATAAGTTATTATCTATTGGACTAATCGGTGGTGATTAAAGTCGTACAATTTAGTCAGAGTCAGAGTAGAGAAGAGAAGTGGTCATCGGTCAGCGCACTGGGTGGAATGCAGGCACCAAACGTGAAAACTGTGCTAATTGACATCTTCTGTCGCATTCGCATTATTAAAAACGGTGATCATTTTCATTTGGACCTTTTGGTTCGACGACTAGCGATAAACACGTGGGTCGGTGGGTGGTGGGGGTATCAACATCGTATCCCTGTGGGCGAGCGAATAACCTTTTTTTCCTTTTCTTTTCTTTTTATTGTGGGCTGTTTCTGATTTCTTACGTTTGGAAGCAAACGAACCTATGCTCCAGACTTTGGTCTCCCACTTTAATTTTCTGTCCTATTTGTTTCGCTTCATTCTTCTTTGTTCAACACATATGATAAGTTCTCTCTCTTTGTGCCACTTGTAAGTTGTGTAATAACAAACAACAAACATCTATACTAAGACATAAATATCGCTCTTTCCGACAAGAATTCAGTATTAAATCTCCCGATTAATCCTTCCAAATATATACAATCCTTCCATTGCTCACATATACTTGACATTATCAACATAAATCATGGTTTTAAATTGAATCTCAAGCACCATTTGATTCATTACCATGTCAAATTTTGATAAAAATACGAAGAGGGTGTTTTAATTTGAGTATATAATATGAGTTGAACATGAACAGTTGATTTTATTATATCAGTTTGTAACGGCTATAATAATCGGTATACCATTTTACAATCACATCTATACTGTGTTTCGTTTAAGGTTGAAATAAAACGTAATCCCAAGGAGTAGCCTAATGGACACAAGAGGCGGCGAGGGATTTATTCTAATCCGAGTTCAAAGCACTTTCCATCTACAACTTACTACAGAGCACAAATAACATCGATAAAAGAAACAAGTTCACTTGCATACGCTCTTTCATGGTTCTTTAGCCTTGTATTATTATTCTTTCCATGTCTTTTGCCTATCAAAAAGCAATAGGATACTGTAAGGCATATGATTCCCACCCAGCACAAGTAAAAGCAGCTACTTTCATAACAGGCAGGTTCCTCTGCTTTTGCTATTCCATTTTCTTTGGTTTTTGGTGAATACAATGCCATATGTATTGCTCAAGATAACATTTGTATTGGTATCCACAGTCCATAACCAAGCAGATAATGCAACTGTTTTACAGTATAGGTCGCGGTCAGACACGAGAATTAACTATCCAAGCAATACAGGCATTAAAACCTGTTTCTAGTTGCTTCGAACAGTAACACGCATGCAAAACTCCATAGTTATAGAAGAGCAATGTAGTAATGAAGCCCACGGCTACCTGATGGCACTGCAAAACCTAAGGAAGGCAGCCAATGTACGGGTGTTCAACTGCCGAGCCAAACATGATACTATTTTGGCATACCCCACAACCAGGGGATGGCATGGTACACTAGAGACTAAACCTCTGTCCTCAGGCCATTTCACATCAGATATGACTGTTAATGGCTTTCAGAATGTTGAATCAAATCCAACCTAAGTTCAAATTATCCATAAGCAAGCTCCATCACCACAAATGCAAACAAAAAACTGGACAGCCTAGTATGTGCACCATGTCGAAATGGGGTGGGGGAAAACAACAAAAGCAGAGTTATAAGGACAAATGTCATCAGAATTATGAGATTTCTTTCACTAATCTCAATTTGACATGTCACACAGATGGTGATTAAAGGTGTTGTCAATCCAAAAATCAACAAAATCAATCACCAGTAGTCCAAATCCCAAGGTTTGCAAATCATACAGTCATTTGACGTCATTTGCTTTAATGCGGCTCCTATGCTACAAGATCACTTTCCAAGCCTTGAGAGAGTGTTTTAATAGACAAAACAAGTTCATCATGGTGCAATTTCTTTCCCATTTAACTTACCTAAAGAGAGGAACAAACCGACCAAAGAAGACGAGGAGTTCTGAACACAGTGAGAACTGAAATACTGGTTAAATATAATATTCAATACTTGACACAGAAGAATTCCCATTAAACAGCACACAGTACAGAGTTTCCGAGAAAAGACAGCAGATTAAAAGATCGAAAGCCATGACAAGCAATAGGAGAAGCTTTTTGAGGCATTCCCCCTGCACATTTTTAACTTTGACGGAATTGACACACATTACAAACTGTAAATTTGCATATGGTCCTTGAAATCTAATAGTCCTTGCACTAGAAATAGGTACCTTCAGGAGGCTGGACCAACTTACGGTTTTGTGGGGCTGCCATTTCTTTTTTCAGCTGTGTCAGTATGTCTTCCATGGTGTATTCTCGCTGCCAATTTGACAGAAGTCCAAACTTTTTTGGTTCCACCTATACAAAAATGGTTGACATAATATCTCATCAATCATCCACGTAAAAACATGTAATGGCACAAAGGACTAAACTTCCCATCATCACAAAGAATAAAAAAGATAACATTAATAAAACCTTCCAGAACTGTTTTAGCCACTGATCCAATCACTTCTACAACATTCTTAAATTATATATTCCCTCATTTTTATCCCATCAGCAGAAAAGATAAGTCCATCCTAACAAACATTCTTTACTTTCCAAATTACTAAAGCCAAAACTTTAACATTGTCTTGAATTCTATTAAGCAAACAACCATGGACCAGCTCCAGCCTTTTGAACTACTAAATAACCATAGTCTATAAACAAGGTTATGCATGAACAAGATATATAGGACCCCTGCACTGATTGATGGACGCAGACAAAATAACAAGAAAAACATAGGTAAATTATTAGCCACAATACACATTGTCGATACGTATGCCTTATTAACTGCATCATATAGGATACAATGATATTTACACAAGATACTAGTCCGGTTGGATTTCCAAGAAAAATCTAATGTAATATTTCTATTAAAGTTTACTCTAATTTTCTAGCTCAGGTGTATTAAGATAAATTTACTTTGCTTTCCTATTCCTTCACCACAAATCCTATACTACAACTGTTTCTAAAAACAAAGACTTTTCAGGCCCACTACAGGAGAAGAATACTTCTTTTTTCATATTTCGAAGCTCATGAAATTCACTAGTATAGGCATAGTGTTGCACACTAACATGTAGCCACATTAAGTTTTACATTTGAGTTGCGCCCCTGGATACTTCAATGAAAAATTACCCACAACAAAAAAAAAAAAAAAACACGCAAATATCGTACACAAATTGAAAACAGTACATTGCAGAACAATGTCCTAGAAACCTTGTTAGCATGCATTAAGCATACCAGTGCAGTTAGATTGAATGGCATTTCCTATCATCCCCAATTGGAACGTGCAGTGTTCGGTCCACAGTAGGACACCAACAAGTGTGCATTAATTTTTTTTTTTTTTTTGGGAGGGGGGGGCGTGGGAGGGGGAGGGGGGACTTGAACCCTTAAGTGTGCATTAATTAACTAATCGTGGAATCAGCAAAAATTTATTGGATCACAATCTTTCCAATTTTTTAGAATTTCATTGTTGTCCACAGCATTACTGATCAATAAAAGAGTTGTTCTTTGATAAGTGCAAATGGAGAATCATATTTTAATCTATGATATCAAGCTATGAATATTTGATACTTGATCTATCGTTTAATTTCTACTTTGTATTTTGCTCAATATCATTTAATTTCTACTTTGTATTTAGCTCAGTATTAAACTCATATTTCTATTTTGCTCAATATTTTCCATTTGTTCAGTCATAATGTGAATTCAAAGAATATTATGGCATACAATCAGACAGTACACAATACAGAAGATATAGAGTTTAATACTCATTGTGGCACACAATCAATTATTAATACTATTTATTTATCATAATCATCAGCATCAAATATTCTAAAAGTAAAACATTACAGCACTGTGAGAATCATGTCAAAATGGTCCTAAGATCACGGCTAAAGCTAATCTCAAAAGAAGTCAGTAATAAAAGAAACTTTGGACTCACAATTTCCACCAATTGAAAGTGTGGAAACACAGAGAACCACCTAATTGATAACAGTGCCAAAACATCAATTCAAATGTAAAATAGATATTCATGTACCACTCCAGTTTCATGGTTGACGCAAGTCATGTTGATCCGTGAATGGAAACGAACACTTGGTGGCTTCTCTGGGTAATCTTTGTCACAGAATAGCTTCAACTGATAAATGCGACCTTCATGCACGGACTGAAGAAACAAGAAAAGTTACTGTAGTCTGAGCAATTTATCAGCAAGGAATTACAATCAAAATTCCCTAAAAAAAAATGAACAAATAAGTAAGCACATAAACGGCACTTTTCAGTTCTGCCAACAAGAATGAATGCACACAATGTCTCTTCCAAAATTATCAAATATTGGACAGAATTACATTTAATACTTTTGTGATTTTGATTGTAGCACAACACTCGTTCCTCCATATCATGCCATTTCATATAAACCAGAGTAGGGCTGTAATCTGAAACTCTGTTAAATAGTGTTAGATTTGCAACCCACAAAAGAGCTACTTTACATATTTGGGGAACCAAGACACTACTACACATTTCCTTAGACTAAGATAACTCAGTTCTTGCCATACGTCATTTATCCAGCAAGTATAACAACCACCAAAAATATGTTTCCAGAAAGTCAAAAAGCAACCATGTCAAACACACACACACACACAAATAGGAAAAGAAACGTAAACCCTTCCCTGTAACAAGTTGAGTCAGGCACAATGTGATTGACTCCTAACAAGCTTTTGTGGTAGAGTTATAAGCCTTGAAATAAATTGGATGCACCACAAAAGTGGGTTGCTGAAAAAATCAAACTACACAAAACCCAGTTCAATTCTTGGTGACAACCTTGATTTTTGTTTCAGCAATTCTTTCTGACAACACTTGGTACAATGTGCCCTACTCTCTTCCCACCGGAACATTACTGCATAGCATGGAAGGAAGCAGAGAGAGAGTATCTTTATGATGACAGCTTATATAGCAATGAATTTCTTCCACATTTTGCTTCTCGCATGGCTCACCCCATGAGTGGTGAGGCTGAGCAAGACCTTTTTGAATTACAACTCACAAGACTGAAAATTAAGACCTAAACATCAATAGATCGAATCAAATAAACTAGGAACCCAGGTTACATGAAATGTTGATCCTAAAAATAACAAACAGATAAACACACACCAAAGTAGCCTTCATGCTTCATATAATCAGACAGTTAGATGTCAAAAACTAAAAACCATTACACAGAGACATATACAGGCTTACATTATGCGGACCAATAATGGTTCCAGTCCAAGAACGCATGTAAATGTCATCTCCATCATCCATTCCATAGCTCACAGTGCCATCTCCAATACCCTTTTCTCCACGTTCAAGTTCCTCCAGCAACCTGAAATTTCGAGGGACTGCATGGAAAATCAAGGACTTGAGAAGCCAATTTTAAAACACCAACTTCCAAGCTAATCATTTTGGTGAAAGAATACTCAACTCAACAAAGCCTTGTCCCAACATTTTTGGGGTCAGCTACACAAATATGTTTCGCCACTGAGCTCTATTAAAGGTCATGTTTTCTATTAAGCCATAAGTTATCATATATTTTTTTACTATTCCATGTAAATTTAATTCTTCCTCTACCCCTATATTTACTGATAATAACTATCATAGGACTCTTTCTCATTGATGCTATAATAGGTTGTCTATAAATATATCCAAATTACCTAAGTCGATTCTCCCTTAACTTACCTCCTATATGTGCTACCTCTACTTTTTCACAAATATATTTGTTCCTAATTTTATATTTCCTAGTTTTACCACACATTCATCCGAACATTCTCATTTCTGCCATGCTCAATTTTTGAGCTTGTTATTTCTTAGTTGTCCAACACTTAATACCATAAAGCATATTAGATCTTATGGTCGTTTTATAAAACTTTGTTTTTAGTTTAAAGGGTATGTATTTATTACACACTACACCGGATGCATTCCTCCATTTAATTCATCCTGCATTAATTCTATGATTGACATCATCGTTAATCTCACATTATCTATGAATGATAGACCGTAAAAATTTAAAATGTTCACTCTTCAATATCTCTCTTGATCTTAATTTTTACAACTTCCTAGTTTCAATTTCTTCTCTTACTGAAGTTGCATTCCATAAATTCAGTTTTAGACTTACTTATCTCTTGATTTTTTGATTATAGAGTTTCTTGTCATATTTCTAGTTTATTATTAACTCCTTCTTTACTATCATCAACTAATACAATATCGTTCGCAAAATATCATACACTATGGGAGCTCATACTGAATGTGCCAATAGTTAATTCATTCATAATTAACGCAAAACGGCATGGACTTAAGGCAAAGCCAAAATATAAGTTATAGTAATTAGGAATTCATTATTCTCTCCTACTGTTGTTCTCACTAAAACCACGACATCTTCATACATATCCTTAATCACATTAATATACCTATCAGTAACATTTTTCTTCTCTAACGCCCGCCATAATATATCTATATCATATGTCTTTTCTAAGTCTACAAAAACCATACGAAAGTCTTTATTTTTCTCCCTATACCTCTACATTAGTCTCCGAAGTAAATATATAATTTTCATTGTCGTTCAACCATGCATAAATTCAAATTGATTCTTAAAACCATTGTTGCAAGTCTTAATCTTTGCTCGATCACCCTCCACCAAAATTTCATTGTATGACTCATTAGTTTAATATCTCAATAGTTTTTGCAACTTGGTATCTCTCCTTTATTATTATGTATAAATATAAATACTAGAATACTCCTTCACTCCTCAGGCATTTCCTTGGTTATTATAATATTATTAAATAATTTAGTTAACCATGATACCCCAACATCCCATAGAGGCTTTCAAACCTCAACAGGTATACCATTAGATCCTAAAATTTTTCTTGTCTTCATTTTCTTTAATGTATCATTTATCTCCGACATCATAATCTTACGAAAAAATGTATTTTATCTAATCTCCCTATGATTTCTATTGTTCTCAATGTCTAAGCTCCCTAGATGATTTTCATTTAGTAACGTTTCGAAGTAAATCTTCCACATTTCTTTAATTTTCTGGTTTTGTACCAAAACCCTAGTAATCTTCACTCTTAGTACATTTAATATGAACATCTCTATTCCTTTGTGTCTAATTTAGAGTAAAAATCATCATATGCTTCATATTTAGAATCTTACCCTCTTTTTTACTTCATATTTAGTTTTTTTCCATGTTTTATAACACTTCCTTTTTACTTTCACTGCAATTAAGACCTCATCATTCCACCACCAAGTTTTCCTTGCTAATGGTCTATTACCTCTTGATTCTCCAAGAACCTCAAGAGTCACTTTCCAAATATACTCAACCATTGTATTCCACATTATATTCATTTCAACTTCTAAAGTCCAGACTACTTTTAGTATTTTAATGCCAAGACATACAAAAGCAAACATTATTCCTCACTTTTGTTAGCAAAAGAACCACTAAAAATGAGGTGAAAATCAAAATCTCATGATTCCTTTTTTCTAGAAAGAAAAAAAACATAAAGATCCCATGGATTAAGATAGCCCAACAAAAAGGAAAGAATGCAATGGAGTTGCAATTCATCTATGGTGGTGGAAAATTAATAATTATAACATTCCAATGGGGTCAATGAGGATATATAACAAAGCTAGCCCCTCATCATTGCAGTTTGCTTGCAGGCTGCAGCTATAAACTCCAAAGCTCCAAAACATCATATGCAACCACATGCGTTCCAACTTCCAATCATAGCCATATAAACTCGGATTTGAAAACACAGAAGATAAAATGATATGATGGAAATTCTCAGAACGAGCATCCCTTCATGTAACGGTACAAACCTAATAGAAAAATGTGAATATTAAGGAACAACTACAAAGTTCTATCCAGGAACGTCCAAGTCATTATCTGGCAGCTTCTCCCTACCAATTATGAAGCAAATGGTTTGTAAGCAGAAAAGATATTCCGACTTCATAAGAAATTCTCAAGCACAACTCAACCTTTCATAACAAGATAGTCATTTGATTGAGGATATCATGACAGCCTTTCATCAATCCAGCATACAGCAGAAAACACGTTAGCTGAAACAGAAAAAGTAACTACATTGACCTTTAAAATTCTACCACAATAAATGTAAAACCAAATTTCTAAACAATTTCCCCGATTGTCAATGGGCGATGAGTAGAGCAAAATCCATACTCTGCACACAAAATCAACTCTCATGACCACTATGTAAGCCCGCAAATCAGTATTAAGTAGCTTAATTTAACCATTCGATAAAACTGAAGTATAGTATTCACTAAAAAAAAATGACCCGGCATAAATACAACAGAAGATAAGAATCACATAATTTGCAAAATAAATAAACACATACATATGAAAATAGATAATACATCAAACAGCAGCAACAATCAACATAGAGCAGCTATCGACACAGAAGCAGATTCACCTCAATTCCAGAATTGCCCAAGAAATCCCAAAAAAGCAACATACCCATTCTCAACCAAAACCCAATAAAAGATCATCAAACAAAGAAATTACAAGAACACTCATAATCCAACACATCTCTGACCCATCACTCATTCACCCATACTCACATCCAGAACATCTAAAAAAAAAGATGAAATCAGACAAAAACATGTGGAGATACTGCACAAGTATGATAACAATCACGAGAACAAAAGACCAAGATTGAAGAGATTAATCAAGGGTTCGGAGACTCACCCACAACACTTGATCCTCCTGAGCCAAGCGTCATGCCTGATCTTAAGTTTTGGTTCGGGGTTACGTAAAGATCGATTTTTGATCGAGAAAAGAAATTTTTTTTTGTAGAGATAGAAGGGAACAAGCAGAAGCTAAAGTGAGGCGAGTATAAAAGGCAGAGGTATAAAGAGGAAAAAATAACGCAACGATCCAAGGAGAGAGAGTGAAAGAGGGGTTAAAAAAGAGGGTGACGTAGGAATAAAGTGGACTTCCTCCCCCACCCACTAAACATTTTTCCAGTTTTTCCTTTTTTTTAGGGAGGTTGTAATTTTGAAATTGCAAAACACAACCTCTATTATTAAAAATTAACAAAAAATGAGCTGGATCCTTACATTTTGCGTACAAAAGCTTAAGATATATTTAAATATTTTTTTAAAGTACAGATATAATTGTGTCAAAAAAGAAAAAGCATGTTTCAATAATTATTTGACAAAATCAATCTATATATTTTGGTACATAAGAATTATACTTATTTACATGCACACGTAGACTAATGTTCCGTTTAGTAAGAAAGATCGAAAATAGAAGGGATAAAAAATAAGAGGGGTATATTTTCTATCATCTAAGGAAAGAAAATAAGAATGATACATTTTTCTTCCTTTCTATTTAGTAAGTTTGATGGAAAAAAAAATATAATTTATTTTTTTGCGTTTGGTAAGAAGAAAAAATTATTATTTTTTTTATTTTTAAAATTTATTTTTAAAATTCTTTTAAAAAATATAAATATATATTTCAAATGATATATAGTCAAATAAGATACATTTTCAATATAAATAATTAATATTTCGGTCACTTTTCTTCTAATTTTAGAAGGATTGATTTTGGTGAGTTGAAAAAAAAACTCATCCATCCACTTTTTCATCCCTCCTATTTTTCTTCTTTACCAAGTATAATGTTTTATCTATTTCTCTAATTTTTTTTTCTTGTATCTTTTTATTATACCAAACGGAGCATAAAACTATTCAAGGGAAAAAGTTTAAGGAATTAGTCATGGCCTAATGGACCAATTACCACATATTTGGACCTAAAAAGCACATGTTTGTACATCATCCACTCCCTTTCCATGTCTAAACTGTTAAAAAAAATGAATAATCCTATTTATACTTAAAATTTTGATCTAATTTGCTGACATAATGATGCGGCTATCAGTAGAATCATTGGATCAGCATCAAATTTCAATGTTTGATGGAGTCTACAGTCAATTCAAAGATCATAATAACTTAGGTCAATAAATTGAATATCAATAGCATTGTTCAAAAAAAAAATAGTGAGAAACTTTGCTATCAGTTCTTAAGAATTTAAAGGAGCAATAATTAGGTAATAAACTTGTCACCAAGAATTTAATAACTCACTATTCAGAGACACCAAATGCAAAAGACAACATAGGGGCCCAGTCTAATGATGTTTAAGGTTTGAAATCACATTTGAAAGAGATTTTTAATGAGCCACTGTCATGATTAAAAATCTCACCTTCCAATATGAATTTCAGTAGCAGGTACACAATCATCCAATGATGTTAAATTTTTCTTTAATTAACATCTAGGAAAAATAAATCCAGACTCTCTCAAATTTATCATTAAATCACTTAGATTCCTTAATATTTAAAATATTACATACAAATCTCTAAACTTTATATATATATGTAACACATAAATCCTTTTTGTTAATGTCCGGTAGTACATCCGTTAGTAAATTATATGCAGATCCCTGAAATTTAAAGCGTATAATACTTAGATTTCTAAAGTTTAAAATATTATATTTGAACAAAAATATTCCAATTAAAGATAAAATATTAAATATTTTATATTTTATAATTAAAATTCATGTTCTATTATATCATTTATTGAAATAAAATCAAAAATAAAAATTCAATCATAATTAATACTGTTGATGCCAAATTTTGGATGACCTCCAGTTTGTTGAATTTTGATTGCCTAAAAAACTGAAATAAAACTCAAACAAAATCCTAATTTTTTGAAGGAAAAAAAGTAATTAGTATAAATATATCAAAAACTCAATTCAATACTCATTTTTCATATAATTATATTATCTATTGTAATAAACTTAAAAAACCAAACAAGGGTCAAACTTGGTTGTTTAATAAAAAACCAAACCAAGTGTCAAACTCAAACCAAATATCTTCTATCGTTAATTGAGATAATTTGGTTGTTTAATAAATTTCATTAGTTTTGTAACTTATAAGGTGTTTATGTCTAATATTTTAAATTTGAGAGGTCTAAATGTTATACACATATAAATTTCAAGAAATTTGGATATAATTTACTAATAAATATATTAACGAACATTGACAACAAGAGTTCAACTGTTGTGCACGTATAAATCTCAAGAGGTCTATGTGTAATATTTCAAATGTCAAAGGTATAAGTAATTAAGTGGCAAATTTTAAAAATTCTGGTGTAATTTTCCCTAACATTCTAATATGTTCGTACAAAGAGAAAATATTCAATGCAACGGTGATATCATGTCAACAATTGACGTGGTATCACCAACTAATAATAAAATACCAAATGGATAAGGTGAACCTCGCTTGGATTGTTATTAGCTTACACAGAGGAATAATGGGTAGTTATTTACCTATATGGAGGGTTGTTAATAATTTTGTGGTGTCCATTTACTAATTTGTTTTGATATTATTAATTGATGGTATCATGCCAACATTGTGACTTATTATCATTGTTGTATTAAATATTTTTTCCGGTACAATAGACAATACTATTTAATTTTTTTATGTATCAAGTGAAAGCAATAATTAATTTCAAGAATAAAATAACAATATACTATGCTTACCACCTTAGCTTTTAAAGCACATTACTACAATTTTACAACATTTAAGATATACTAGTAGTCTCACACACAATTACCCGTATATTCAATTTTAAAATGAAATCAGAAGTGACCGATAGATATAAGAGATAAATTATGACCTAGAACTCTTTAAAGTATTGGATTGGATCAAGATAATTGGACCCACCTTTGACCGGATTACTCTTAGATTTCATTGAATCGGTTTGGATACTAAATCCAAATCAGTCCAATCTTGTGGGTGATTGCCAAACACACCCCTTGGGATTATGACTTGTTTTTGGTGCCAAATCATATTCAAACCAATCAATTGTAATGTTTGCTGAAATGTGTACATATTTGTTTATTGGTTTTAACTTGTGGGTGCTTAAATCGGTGGTGGGTTGTATTGTCAATTGCTTACTTCTTGTGTAATTGCTTTGTTTGTTCCTTTAACAAACCAACTATAAAAGCTGTGATAAATAATTATGTGGATTAAAAATGCATGAGTTTTTTTTTTTTTTTTTGAGGGGGCAAATTTAAAAATACATTAAAACATATATAGAAATTTGCTTACAAAAAAATAAAAAAAAATGAGTAGGGGAAGTTGCCCCACAATGCATTGAGCGGCTCTGCCGCCCTAACTTTTAAATTCAGGGCTCCTTTGGAAATATTTATAATTTTGATTTTTAAAAAAAATAAAAAAAAAATCAATTTTAGATTTTCGTTAGTAAAAAATGAAAACATAAAACGTGTTTGGTTGCTTTTATAATTGTAAAAAAATCTGACAACAAAAACAAAAAACTCGTTTGGATATAACACTTGTATTTTTTTTTTTTTTTAACTAGCATGTGTACATTAACATAATTCCATGCTACCTTAATGGCTGTTGTTCATGAAATTATGTGTGCTGGTTGCAAACAGCAAACTGTGAGACTTGTGCCTTTTTTCTCATTTCTTGGTAACATTTGACCAATACATTACACATAGAAAGACATTGCTTGCTAAAAACTCCATTATCACAGCAATTTCTTAAAAAAGATAACTGAACAAGGAGATTTAAAAGACAAAATCAATGATCAACGCTTAATTAAGCCACAATTTATTACAATACAAAATATATCCTCAATGTCTGAAACTTAACAAAAGCTAATTTAAAGGAAAACTATAACAATATTGCTCTTCAGAATTCTGCTCCTGTTGTTCTACATAACTGTGTGCAGATAGTGATTAAGTCTTGACTTCACCCCAATGGTACTCAATAAAGATCTCGGATGATAATCAAATGGATGAGAGCCACATAACAGTACAAGAAATTTGTCTCAGAAAACCGGGGGGACTAAAGGGTAAGATCTTTAGGGTCCTTGATTAACTGAGCTAGAGATTGCAAGAATGAAGCTAGATTGAACCGTATATGACACGATGATCTGCCGTAACATTTGCCTGTAATTATTGCTTCGTCAAAATTCAGTACTCAACAAGAAGTTACTCGCACGGTCTAATGAAAAAATCAAGACATCAAATACTAATAGTGGAAATAAACAAGAGATTAACCTGCATCTGACTTCTCATGCCAATCCGACCGTCCTATGTAGCAACTACGGAGGGCTGAGATGCTCCAACAGCCATGATTGCACCCTGTAAAAAAATAATTCCCATACATCCGTTACATTTGCTCAATTTGGTCAAATGACAGGTAATCTACTAGAGAGGATGAATTTAAATTTAATTGCAAAAACTTACAGTTCCTGGCGGTAAAATGGCATCAAAGCGATCCACACCAAACATTCCAAGATTTGAAAGGGTAAAGGTGCCTGGCATACAAAAAGCCAGCCATAATAAGCAAATGTTTAATCTGGTCGTATGCTAACTGTTGTAATAAACATGAATGGGTTACAATTGACTAGAAGGAATCCCACACCACATCAGCTCACATGAAAGATCAAATAATCGCCTTTTAACTGTCATATAGTTTTGACAATTCTTGTTCTTGATTTTCATTTGGGTTTTGCATTGAATCCCATATTTTTGTGTAAATTTCGACTTTTTTGTTCTTGATTTTGATCCACAAAGTCGAAGACAAAAAAAATCAACAATACAGCACAAAAGAAAAAAAAAATACCTCGATGGAGAACCCTTCACTGTCGAAGACGAAGGCTAGAACAACTTCGCCGTCGAAAGTTCAAGTTAATCCAGAAAGTTCAAGTTAACACACTCTTTGTGATGTATACACCCAACCATAAAAGAATCAAAATCTTTTACTTGCTTGTCAAACACAAAACCCAAATTTAGCAACTCAAAACAAATCCAATTAAACAAGATTCACACAAAATTAATAACGGTACAAGGATGGTACCATTACCATCTCATGCTGCAACACAAGACAAAACCTCAAAAGCGGAAACCAAATTAGAATTTTTCTTCATAAATTAGATCATAAAACCCTAAATTTTCCATCAACAACATCGATTAACCATGTATATTCACCCATAAACCTCATTCCAATCAACAGGAAACTGAAATTAATTTTCTTCCAAGTAGACATGCAGAGAGAGACAGAGGAGTTGAACCTACATTGTTGCCTTTCCAGGTCTGACAAGTCCGTAGCAACTCCGTGCCATCGGCGGCACCACCAGTCGAACCAGAACTCTTCGGCGGAGGCACTGTTCACCTTCACCGTCTGGGCCTGAGAGAGCGAGAGTGAGAGAGAGAGAGAGAGGGGGGTCTGGCAGCGAAGAGACGCTTGGAGAGGTTAGAGGGGTTGGGGTTTGGGATCAATCGTTATTTATACGGTGGTCAATAAGTGAGGTTTTTTGGTGCTAACAAAATTTGATCCCTCGACCTCATTATTGTAAACGATGACAATAAAAAAAAAACAAAACAGTTGCCAAATGAATTTTTTGGTCTGATTTTCTCCAAATGTGAAAATAAAAACAAAAAACGAAAACATAAACGTTACCAAAGACCTCAGTTATTTCAATCATTTCTCCTTCTGAAATAGGACTTGACTACGGTGTCGGTAAAAAAAATAAGTATCGTAACTTCAAATTTTAATATGTTAATAGATAGTTTTATAATTTTTGTGAGTTATTTTACAAGAAAAAAAATTATCATTTTTATGAGTGATTTATCACATTTGTGTGTGTTTTTTTACCACAATTAAAATTTTTTTTACCACTTTTCCTGAGTACAAAAAAATTTATCATTTTTCTGGGTAATTTTTTTATATTTGTAGTTGTTTTTATCACTATTACGGTAATTATTTTTATCATTTTTTTCGATACCACAGCAATTATAAAAATACATACAACAGTGATAAAAATATTGACAAATATAATAAATACTTAGATACGAGCATTTTATTTTCAAAATTTTAGACAACTCCTTTGAAATCATGTCTTTCTGTCATCATCTTGACTTGGGTTTAAGAAAGAGACGTGGAGAGGGGCTGATGGGGTGGTTGGATGGGAATCGTGGCATTGTCTTTCTAGATTTCTTTGTCAAATTTTTTTCCTTATTTTAGTAAGCAATTTGTCTTTTTTTATTATTATTATAGAAACAGTTGTATATTTTCATTGATTTGAAAGTGTAACAACACGAAGAAGAAGAGGGGCCAAAAACATGGAGCAATTCTCCCTCCAGATAGAAGGTTCTATACAATTATTTACAGCTTATTCTATACAATTTTATTACAAATTTTGTTAGACGATGTGCTACAGTATTTCTTTTTCTGCGAACCCATAAAAAAGAAAGTTCAACAAATCTACTTGCATAATCCTTAATTTGATTAACAAAAGTGCCCACTTTAGAAGAGTCTGTGATGTCTCTTTTTAGTGCATCAACAATCAGCCTAGAATCACCTAAATTTAGTCGCAAACTTAACGCCATACGATGTAGCCAATGCCTCCAATTGATCAAGTTTGAGCAAATCTTGTATTTTATTGACAACAAACCGTATCGTTTTTAAAAAAAAAACCCTCACAGGAATGATGAAGATACCCATTCCAATTCCAAACCACCATCACAACTCCTAAACAACCAGAATCAATAGACTACAAATCTCTATCAGCCGAAAGTATTGATTTCTAAACTTTTCAACAAGCATATGTATAGCTAGTTTTCTAAGCTTCTTTTCTTTCTTGGATGATTATTTAATTCCTAATTTTAAGGAGAGTACTTAGTCATCTTGGTGGTGGGAAGTCAAAGACCTACGCTAGGGGTGTCGGCTTGTATCTAGTTTATTTTTATGTTGTGTCATTATTATTTGTGTCAAGACCTATAAAAAAAAAATATTTAGTATATTTTAAGTGTCAAATATTATTTTAGACCATTTATTATGCGTCTTTAATAATTATACAATTTTATTATTGAATTGATTTAGGTTAGATTGTGTTCATATAAATGAGTGAGAGTTAACACCCATAACCTACAGACATGGTTAAAGCGGTTCTCGCACTATGGGGGGTTCTGTTCTGTCGTGACTGTCTAACCTCAATGTGCTTTTGCATAGCTGCCTCAAGGTGATCAAAGTAATTCATGCTCGCTTGTGGCCTTGGCAAATCATGTATTTTATATAGAAAATTTGAGGGGTCGTTTGGTAACGTTTTTGTTTTTGCGTGTTCAAAAAATCAAAAACAGAAAACATGTTTGGTAGTCATTTTTGTCTATCAAATTATGAGAATAAAAATAAAAAACATGTTTGGTAACTACCTCAAGTTTTATCATAAATATGTTTTATAATATCTCCATTTTTTGTTTCCAAACAAATCAACACTTTATTTCATGGAAAATGATTTACAACCATGTATTAAAGACCTTCAACAAAGCACCAATCAACACTTTTTTTTTATTTTTTTTGGAAAAGAGAAATTTTATTCCATCAATCAATGAATTACAAGAATCAAAAGAATTCAAAGAACTCTAATTACAAAGAGTTGACTTTAATTCTTCAGCAAGACTAAAGCCATAAAACTATCCACACAGTCCAGCATCCAGACTTCAAAGTGCAGAAAAACCACTTCAAAAAGCACCCAAAACCTGGACTTGCTACTTCTCCAACTATTGAAATCTCCTCTTCACTGTGTCAGCTCACAGCAGCAATTTGCCAGCATAGCAAAAAGCTACTGAAACATAACAGATCAGCAACCATCCTGCAACATCATCATCTCAACTTCTTTACTGAAAAATTATGCACTCCAGCTCCAAGCTCCAAAGCATAAACAGTGCAGCACCAGCTTAGACAGAAATACAGCCCAAACTAGTAGCTCACAAACAGACCATAAAAACCTTGCCTATAATCAAATTGCTACAGTCCAGATCTTCAACATTTCAACGCCTTCCTTCTGTATAGCAGACATCATCCTTGAATGCAAGAGCAAATTCTGATGCTCAATGCCCCTCACACAAATCAACTCCCACCTCACTATTAATCTCCAGACAGAACCTAATGCAGAAATGAACTGCCAGACCAACAAGACACCACTACTTAGATATCTACTCTATACATTCTACAGACAACTACCCCAGACAGCTAAGAGAACTTCAGACCAAAATATCAACCCAAATCCACATACACCAAAAGATTGTTCATGCTAAGTATTTGCAAACAACACTTCCACTGTCAAAACCTTTATCCAGCTGCTGAATCCACAGAAAAAACCTGTTGGCCATTTATCACAAACCTCCTCCTTCTTGTGTTAGGCCTCTGGGCTTGATCTTGCTGCAACAACATTCTTCCAGCCAAAGGCAGAATACCAGTAGCTGAAAAATCACTAAAGCAACCAGTTTTAACTGCAAAAGAAGCCAAAAAATTAGAATTCTTTTCAATCTCCGAGGCACTTCAGCATGCCCTAACACCATTTGAATTAGAGCTTGAGAATCAGACTCAAGCACCATCCACATTGCGCTTTAACATACACACAGGTGGAAATATTAAAGGAGCTTTAACATATACACAGATGGAATCTGAGAATCAGACTCAAGCACCATCCACATGAGCTTTATCATAAAGACCTGCCGCTTCAAGGCACTAACTACCTGCAAGAAAATAGCATAAGCACCA